AGGTTAAGAGCACTGACTGCTCTTCCAGAGGTCCTGAGTTCAATTCCCAGCACCCACATGGTGGCTCACAACCATCTGTAATGAGATCTGGTGCCCTCTTGTACATAATAAATAAATAAATCTTAAAAAAAAAAGAAAAAAGAAAGAAAGCAGGCTGAGCAAGCTGTGAGGAGCAAGCCAGTAAACAGTGTTCTTTTATGGCCTCTGCTTTGGTTCCTATCCTGACTTCCCTCAATGACAGACTGAGACCTGAGAGTTGTAAGCTGAAATAAACCCTTTCCTCCCCAAGGTGCTTTTGGTCATGGTCTTTCATCACAGCCACAGAAACCCTAAGACAATGATATTGTAAAAGAAAGTTGTCATCTGCAAAATGCATGCTTGAGAACTGTGTTATCAAGCTACCCCCAAGGGCAAAAATAAATATCATGTTTTAAGTAAGCTCATAATTTTGTGTTGATCCCCAAGTTGGACACACCTGATTCTAGAGCATTAACAGGACTTTCTGTAGTGCTGGAAATGCTGGCTGTGTCTCCAGTGACTAATACCATAGTCCCCTGTGGTTAAAGAAACTGGAACTGAATTATTAATTGTATCGAACTTCCATGAATTTAAACTTAAATAACATGTAAGCAGTAGTGACCACGTTGGACAGTAAAGCTCTGAAGTCTGTGGACTCAACCTGGGCACCAACCTGTGTCTGGTCTGCTCAGGATTCTTAATGTAGGAGACCAAGGACCCCCAGGGCAGGGGAGACACAAGGAGTGGGCCTTGGATGAGCCCTAGGGGCCTGTGATGCTGTCTTCACCAGAGCAGTAAATGAGGGCAGAGACATTTGTGCACCTGCCTAGGAGGGTTGAATGCCACCTCCCCAGGTTCCCAAAAGCAGTTGAGAAGATTGAAAGCCACTGGGGTGGGAACCGTTTTCAGTCTTTAGTTTAGAACCCCTTTACCCCAAATAAAAGTTTCTTTGAAATCCCAATCTAACAGAAAACCAGGGTGTCTGAGAAATGGCTCATCAGTTAAGAATGATTGCTGCTCTTGCCGAGAACAGTTCAGTTCCCAGCACCCACATCAGGCCCTTCACAACTCCCTGTAACTCTAGCTCTAGGGGATCCAGCTCCCCCTTCTGTCTCCAAGATCATCTGTACAAATATGGGCACACACACACACACACACACACACACACACACACACACACACACACACACACACACTAAAATCTTAAAAACAAAACAGAAAGAGCCAGGCGGTGGTGGTGCACACCTTTAACCCCAGCACTTGGGAGGCAGAGGCAGGTGGATCTCTGTGAGTTCAAGACCAGCCTAATCTACAGAAGCGACAATCACGGAGCCTGCATAGGTCTGTGCTAGGTAGGTCCTAGCATACATGCTGTAGTTGTTAAACTTGGGTTTTATGTGGGACTCCTGGCAGTGGGAGTGGGGTGTCTCTGACTCTTTTGCTTACTCCTGAGACCCTTTTTCTCCTACCAGGTTGCCTTGTTCAGCCTTAATGTGAGGATTTGTGCCTAATCTTACCGCATCTTGTTATTCTGTGTCCAGTTGATATCCCTGGGAGGCCTGCTCTTTTCTGAAGGGAAAGGGAGGAGGGGTGGATCTGGGGGAGAGCGGAGATGGTGTAGGGGCACTGGGAGGATTGGGGGCAAGGGAGGCGGTGGTCAGGACGTATTGCATGAGAGAAGAAAAAAAGATGAGAGTGAAGACCAGGACTCTGACTTATCTCATGAGAAGCCTTGAAGCCATGGCAAATAATTGTTGAAAACTGTAGACCTACAGTCAGATGTGGTGGGGTGTGTTGGTAATCCTGGTACACAGGAGGCAGAGGAGCTCTGGTTTGAGGGCAGCCTGGGCTCCATAACAAGACCCTGTATAGCCGGGCGGCAGTGGCACACGCCTTTGATCCCAGCACTCGGGAGGCAGAGGCAGATGGATCTCTGTGAGTTCGAGGCCAGCCTGGTCTCCAAAGCGAGTTCCAGGAAAGGCACAAAGCTACACAGAGAAACCCTGTCTCAAAAAAAAAAAAAACAAACAAACTTGGGCTGGAGAGACGGCTCAGAGGTTAAGAGCACTGACTGCTCTTCCAGAGGTCCTGAGTTCAATTCCCAGCAACCACATGGTGGCTCACAACCATCTGTAATGAGATCTGGTGCCCTCTTCTCCTCTTCTGGCCTGCAGACAAACATGCTGTACACATATAAATCTTAAAAAAAAAAAAAAAAAAAAAAAAAGACCCTGTATAAAACAAAGGAAGAATGAGAGGGACATCTGCTTTGGCTGTGGAGCCATCCCAAGTGGTGGGACCCTCTTGGAGTCCCCTGAGGAATGACTGGGGGTCTTCGGGAGAATCTGGGGATGAATAGCCCTGACCTGCTCCCATGGTTCTCCTTGCCCACGATGCCCTTCTCTGTCCTCTCTCTCTAGTCTTGGAGGCCCTCAACATGCTGGTGAGTAGACCAAATCCGGAGGAGCCTGTGCGGTTGGAACTCGCTGACCTCCTGACTCAGAACCCAGAGATGTTCAGGCAGAAGGCAGAGGAATTCACCCTTCAATTTGGAGAGGACCGACCCTCTTAATGCTGGTTCTAAGGCCTCTCTGCCTGGATCTTCTGCTGAGTGGATGGATATCAGAGACTGGCACCATCCTGTGCTCAAGTTTTCCTTTGTAGCTGCTGATTGCCAATAAATGTGCCTACTGTGTGTGTGTATGGGGGAGGGTCTGTGTGATGTGTGCTCCTTCCCGAGTCATATGGCTCTAGATGTGCTGTTCCCACGTCCTTGGCCACTCCCAAAGCCAGCAGAAGTTAGGTTTGCCCAGTGTCAGGCCTGCTTTCCAGTTCTCCATCTTAGGCTACCTTCCAGGCCAACCGGCAGAAAACTGAATGCCTCAGGGCCCAGGCACCCAGGGGTAAGGAAGGCAGGACTGTGGCTGGAAGGCTGGGCACACAGAAGGAGCCAAATGCCCTGCTGAGTGGTTGAAATCAGCCACACTTGTCATAGGCGAGCCCAGATTTAAGTGTTGAACATTTAATTTTCTGCTGGTGAGTCTCACAATGAAGGATCTAAACTCCATCCCAGAAACCGGACTTCACGTTTCTAGATGGTTTGCTTGGCTACGTTTCTAGGGACTAGGCCTCAAGCTGGGATTTGTGTACCTCCAACCTCTAGTCCAGGGGTCTCCATAAAATGCCCTTGCTTGTCTGCCATTAACTTCACAGATGAATTCCAGAGTTCAGCTATTTAAAAAAAATACGTTTTCCATGAGAAGATAGTTTTTTTTTTTTTTTTTAAGTTTTTGTTACATTTTTATTTACTTTGTGTGTTTGTGTAGGGGGCTGGTGAGCACACCATGGCCTGGGAGTGCCGGTAAAAGATCAATTTCTGGGAGACAGTTTTCTCTTTCCACTATGTAGGTCCTGAGAATTCAACTAAGGCCACCCACCTGGCTTGGTGGCCTGTGCCTTCTGCCTTCTGAGTCTCATGGATTAAGTGTTTCATCAGAAAGAGGGTTGGCTGGGGACTAACAGAGCGTGGATATTCGCCACACATGATAAGGAATGCTGGCCCTGAGTAGAACATCCTCAAGGCGCCTTCCAAAGGTCTACAGGAGGGGCACCAGTGTTTTCCAGACGAGGGAACAGCTCATCAGTGAATTGGGCATATGCAGCTGTCAATCAGCAGAGACCACACATTTCTTCCTATAGTCTTGGCAGCGTATCTGATTATCCTTCCCTGTTTGGTGCTAGGGAATGAACCCACAGCTTCATGTATGCCAGGCCAGTCCTCCATTATCAACTGAGCTTCGATACAGCGGAACAACACAAGGTAAAAGTTCAGCCGGAGTAGGAGGGATTAATTTTATTTGAAACCATTGAGTTAGAATGTGGTCCAACTCAAGAGCGCCACCCACTGGCCGGTCGCAGCAGCCCAGTTTGGAGAGATTTCTAGAGATCGTCTACTTCCTGTCTGTAAGTTCCCCCACTGGGAAGTGGAGAGAGAGGGAGGAGGTGAGGGGAGAGGGAAAAGAGAGGAGAGGGAGGAGAGAGAGGGAGAGGAGAGAGAGCAAATTGCCACCCATAGCTCCAAATGCGGGTTCCTTTTTATTTTCGGCCGCCGCCTATTGCACACATGTGGCTGCTTGGGGTGGGGGGAGCATCAAGGAATGAGAGGAATTTTACAACAGTTCCTTTAATGCCATTGAGACCGGTGCCACCTGTTTCACGCCTGGAGGCCCAGCCTACCGCTGTCATCTGGGCCCCGCCCCCCCCGCCCCCCCACTCCCCGGAGCGCACGGCTTTGCCATTCACTTCTTTTTCGTCTTCACCAGCCCCTTCTGCACAAGGCTGCGGTACAGCTCCTGGATGTAGGTGTAGACGCATTTGGAGTCGGGCACGGCCAGCCGCACCATGTCATCCACGTCCAGCAGCTGGGCACAGTCGGCTAGTTTCCTGAGGGTGGAATGGGGAGCAGAGGGTCAAAGGTGAGGAGGGAGCCGAGGAGATGGGTCCAGGCAAGCGAAGGCCACCAGGTCAGCCATCCTAGGGTGGGTTGAGTGTGGTAACTGAGGCCCCGGCAGGGGCAAGATGGACCTGGGTCTCCATATCCTCACATGGGAACCTCTGTGTTCTAGCCTGGATTAGCTTCCTTCTTGCACATAAGGACAGCGGTGCTCTGGATTAGGGACAGCAAATACTTCGGAGGACAGACCATGAATCCTACCTAGAGTGCTGGCTTGCCACAGCCCTAACAGCTCCATTCAGTTAGATCACCTATTTGTTAAGCACCTACTGGGTGCCAGGCAGTCTTCTGTTGGTCAGCAGGGAATAGCCAAAACTCTGCTCTCTGCGGTGCCAGAGTAATCCACCACATGAGGCAGAAGGGGTATCAGATTGGTGAGAGGCGCTGGGGAGAAAAAGGTAGCAGAAAAGGACCACTCTGTGCTAGAGGGGACTTCTGGGAATTTGTAGTAGGGTGCTGGACAGCAGGCAGAGAAAGAACATCTGCGAAGGTCCTTGGCAGGACCGCTTGGTGTGTTCCCAGACTGCAGGGAACCCAGCAAGTCCTCCTGTTCTAACGTCCCAGCTGCATTTTGAGGCTACTTGATATCCCTGGCTCTGCTGAGGCTGATAAGCTGGCCTAATCGCTGCTGGGGCCTCCCTGCCCGGTGCCAAGTGTCTTATCGGGTGATCCCGGGAGATGGGCTCGGTTACTCCTCTTTATCTCTGACAAGCAGAGGAGGCACTGAGCTCACAGGGTTTGGTGCTCTGCCCCAGGTGAGAGTGTAACAGCTGGGACTCAACCCGAAGCCTGCCCAATGCCTCTTGCACCTTGGCTCTCAGCAGTCTGGGCTGCCACAGCCAGCCAACGATGGATGCTGGCAGTGGGAGCAAGAAGGCCCAGCGGAAATTCTCTCTTGGGGCTGCCACGGCTGGGCTGATGTGTAAGCCACTGGCCTGGAAGCTGGGGGAGGGGCCCAGACGGAAGGGTTTTGAAGAATAGGACAAGCACGCTCTCTGCATCCGGGGCTTCAACCTCAGTCCCGTGGGTGTGGGCCGCTGCTGTTCCCCCAACGCTGGAAAGACAAACCCTTTGTGCCAATGGGGCCTGGAACAGAGCAGGGCTCCTCCAGCAGTGTAAGTGGTGAAGCCGCACTGGGGCTCTGGACTGCTCATTTCTTCTGTTCATGCCAGGCCTTTGAGAACTAGAGGAGAGTTCTGGATCAGGAGCTCAGGGCAATAGCTGTGGCAGTGGCCCCCTTCCACCTGTCACTTCTGAGAGGCCTCAGAGTTAGGAAAAAGGAGTAGGGATTCAAACCCTGGCACCTCAAGTATGATTCTCCACTCTTCCTTCCTCCCTTCCTTCTTCTCTCTCTCCCTCCCTCCCTCTGTCTCCCCCTCCCTCCCTCCCTCTGTCTCCCCCTCCCTCCCTCCCTCCCTCCCTTCCTTCTTTCCTTCCTTGAGACAGAGTTTCTCTGTGTAGTTTTGGTGCCTGTCCTGGAACTCACTCTGTAGACCAGGCTGGCCTCGAACTCACAGAGATCCACCTGGCTCTGCCTTCTGAGTGCTGGGATTAAAGGAGTGCACCACTGCCACCCGGCTCCACTCTCCACTTCTATAATTCTCCTTAGCCTCGGTCCTGTTCAGCTGCCTGGCACTTCCCAAAGCCTGCAGTCATCCTCAGCTCATCCTCTGCCTTTCCGTGGCTCTGCCTCACTGGAAACCAGGCTTGCACTCCCTAGATTAGGATGTTTGGCTGGGGCGGAGCTGCCTGCTCCTTTGTTGCCTCTGAGCTTAGCTAGACCAGGAGTCACATAACACCTACCTTGCCACAGTCCTCCTGTAGGACCTGGGAAGACCCTAACCCCTAACTCCGCATCGCTGAGCTGAAATACGACTCCGTTTTCGCTGACCGTCTCATCCCATGGCAGAACAACAGAAAACGGAAGAGACTGTCCGGAATACAGAGTCTGGCTGGATTTTATTGTTGTTTGCCTCTGCCTTTCAAGTGTTGGGATTAAAGGCATGTGCTACCACACCCGACCATCTGGTGGCTTTTAAGTGACATCCATGTGTCCTATGGCCCCAAGGACGTGTCCCCAGAGACCCTCTTAGGAAAAAGAGAGTTGGCCACGGGTCACCTAACTGGAAGGTCTTCCCTTAATATATATAGTGTGTAGCTCATTCAACCAATGTCTGAAAAAACTTGCTGTTAAAAAAAAAAAGTTGAGAAGTATGGGTCAATATGCTCTCATTTTCCTGAGGAAAACACACATTCCTCCCCACTGGTGGGTGGGCAGGCCTGGGTTAGAGGGGGTTGGCTTCCCAGGCCAGACAATTTGGTACTGCCATTCCTAGGGTTTATATATCTATTTGTTTGAGACAGGCCTCCTGTATCACAGGCTGACCTCCAATGCCGTGTGTAGTCAAGGATGACCTTGAATGTTTGATTCTCGTGCCTCTCGCTCCTCTAGCTAGGGTTACTGGTGTGCACCATCACATTGGGTGATCAAACGCAGGACTTTGTGCACGGGGAAGCAAGCACTCTGTAAACTGAAGCACACCCATAGCTGGTGATTGATTGTGTCTTTCTATAGACATGAGGCCGGCCTCCAATTCTCAGCAACCCTGCTTCAGTCTTGGGGTGCTGAAGTTATAGGCGCACACCACTATGTGTGGGCTTTAGAAAAAGCACCTGTCTGTCTGTCTGTCTGTCTGTCAGGGGCCTGAGTTGCGCTCATGTTGACCACACTCCCTGCACAGCCCTGTTTCCACCAGTGGCTTACAAGTGTCTTTCTGGGGTCATCGCCCAGGTTGGAGGTGGGAGGTGGAAGACAGTAGGAACCCCAACCCCTTTTCCCCACTCTGGCAACCATGTTTTTCTGTTTGTTTGTTTGGTTGTTTGGTTGGTTGCTTGCTTTTGTCTTTAAGATAGGCTCTCTCACCGCATATCCCAGGTGGGCCTAGAACTTGAGATCCTCTTGCCTCAGCCTCCTGAGTGCTGGGAATATAGTCCCGTGTCACCACACCCATTGTTCAAAGCCTTGTCTTCGTCTCAGTTTCTTCCATCAGCCTCACTCTTCCCTACACCGCCCTCCCAGCAGCTGCTACCCTTGACATGTGGCTGTATGAGCCTCGGCAATAATACCCCTCCAGGACCCAGAGTGAGTGGTAATTATCGTAATAACCGTGATATCATTCATTATAATGATAGTCATGTAGCCAAGAGTGTTTGAAGTGCTTGCTGTGGGTTAGGCCCTGTTACGGGCGGGCGGGTTACAGGGACTTAATTATGTTACTGAGTTCTTATCTCTGTAAAAGGGGAAACATCATGGAGATAAAGGGGTGTGGGCGTATCCAAGGTTACACAGAGTCAAAACCTAACCTCCAGTTTCTGTAACCCCCTGTCTCAAACCAGAAGGCTTACCTTTCTTCTCTCCCTTATTCTGCTTGAATTTCGAATTTTCTTTGGATATGTGTGTTCATGTGCACATGCGTGTTCAGGTTTGTGGAGGCCGGAAGTCAACCTTGGATGTTGTACCTCGGGAGCTGCCTATCATGTTGTTTGAGTCTTGGTTTCTCACCACACTGAAGGGTCACCCAATTAGGCTAGCATGGTCAGCAAGTTCCAGGGATCTGCTTGTCTATGGGGCCCTTGGGTCCTGGGGATAGAACTCGGGCCCTGGGGATGGAACTCAGGTCCTCACCGTGGTGCAGCAAGCTTTCTACCAACTGAACCATCATCTCCTCGGCCCCTCGAGTTTTCTTCAGGGCACCTGCTGCCACTGCCTATGTGTTATCTGCATGCATGTTCTTATGACCTGTCTATTCATTTAGAATATAAGCCACAATGGAGCATAGTTTTCTCTGTTTGAGCCATTTGCCTAAAGTTGCTTTAAAAAAACAAAACAAACAAACAAACAAACAAACAAACAAACAAAAAAACCCTCGGATATAGGTCTGTGTGGCAGTAGCCTTAGCTTGGTCGCCCACATGCACCCTTTGCACGCACCCGGACTCCTCTGAGGCCACCCACTTCCCTTCTGACTCTGCCATCCCAGGACTGAGGCTTACTCTGCAGTGGAGAAGGCTAGGGTGAAGTTGTGCCGCCGCTTGGTCGGGTCCAGCTCTGCATAGTCAAAGGCATCTGGGAAAAACTTGTGGATGAGGGCGCAGAAGGCCATGCCGCTGCTCCAGCTGGAGGAGAAGTTCTGGATGTCCACGTGCTGAGACAGATAGGCAGGGAATGGAAGACCTTCGTGACTCCGGGCTGGGGGGCCTGGACTTTGCCTCCCCGACCCTTTTGGAATCCGAACCCTCAGATTCTCCACTGCACTACTGCCCCGGAGAAAAGTGTCCCCTGTCCCTTCTGTATCCCCAGCCCCTGCCCACCTCATACTTTCTCGTCATGGCCCGGCACCACTCCAAAAGCATGTTCTTAACACCACCAATGGCTGCCCCCGCGGCTTTCGTGTTCCGGAAGAGGGCAGTGGGGCCCGAGGCTGCCCTGTGAGGAGAGGGGCAAGAAACCACACACATCCCATTGTGAGGAATCTCAGGCTACAGGTGTGTGTCTGGCCATGATGGTTTCCACTGGCCCCCAGACCCCCCCACCCCCTCCATTAGCCCCCACCCACAAATCCTAGGGAAATCTCAGCCCACCCTGACTCCTGGTTTGCATCCTACCCGCCAAACTTGTCCATGATGGCTTTGCGATTCTGCGCACGGGGTCCCCGGGGCCGAGCAGGGGCCGACACCCTGCGTTCTGGTGCTCTCTCCTTTTTTTCCTCCGAGGGTGGGGGCTCCGTGGGGCTCTGGGGCACGTCACTGGGCGAAGACTCACTACATGGAGAGGTCACAGAAGCACGAAAGCAGGTTGAACTGACACCATAGGGTGCAGAACAGCTCTCGGGGGGCCGGCTGGGCAGAGGTCACTGCCGTAGACAGGCCTGCGCAGTTAAGCTTCATTGGTGCACACACTCATCCTGTGCCTAGCACTGTAAGGGCCAAGAAGCAGTAAACAGACTCAGGCTAACTCTGGGGAGCATGTGGTCTGCTGAGGCCATATGGGGCAGAACCAGGGCACACCTGGGCTCTGACCTGAGTTTGGATCCTGGCTTTGTTCTTATTTGCTGTGTGATCTTGGGGCTGCCCCATCTGTAAAATGGGGACAAGAATGCCTCCCTAACAAGGTGATTCTGAGGCCTACAGAAGATCGAGGTCAGGTAGCTGCGCTTACCTCAAAGCTGCGCAAATGCTTGCTGGGTATTCATTGGTCAGCTTTCCCCAAGAGACAAGGAAGTGACCGAAGTGTGTGCTATGGGAGAATAAGGCTGGCTGTCTAGCACTTCCCATATGTCAGGCAGGCACTATATGCTCAGGCGCCATTTTTTGCTCACAAGTCACTGGAGCCTACAATAACCCTGTGAGGTCCTTACAATTGTTATGTCCACTTCACAGATGCAAGGAGGCTAAGGGACACAGCCAAGGTCACCCGGCTGGTGAGCGGCAGAACCAATGTCCAGACTCAGGCTTTCAGATCATTCTTATGGATGACGCTTCGAGAGCTGTCACAATACTCATGGGGCTGAAGAGGCTTCAGCCACGGAGCAGGAGGTAGACCATGCCTCGACCTCCATTTGTTTTCTGGGATCTGTCTGAGATACAAGGCCAGGAATCCTGGAATATCTGGAAATCGGGTCTGGGGAGGCCCAGAGAGAGGTGACAGTTGACTTCAAAAGGAGCAGGAGACGGGAGGAGTCAGAACTCCAGGGCTTGACATTTACCTGGCTGAAGGACTGGTCTCTCCAGATGCTGCAGAATCTGGACCCAAGCCATCTGGAGGGAAGGAAGAGAGCAGAAGGAAGCTGAGGCTGTCTGTCCTGTGCTCTCGGCAGCATCTTTCCTCAGGGTAGTCCTGCAATACCCTGGGCTCCTCCTTACCTGGGCTGAGGCTGGTTCCCTCATCTGTGGGGCTCTCGGGCCACTCTTCGGGGGAGCTGGGAATCACCGCTGTCCTTTCTTCTGATTCTTTTTCCTCACCCTCCTCCTGCTCTTCAGTGGGACTCCCTGGCTCCTGGGGTGGACAGGATCTGTGTGGGCAGCTACCCAAGGCTTTCTAAGAACTTCAGAAAGGTTTGGAAGGCAGTCTGAGCCACAATCTCCTTTCCCCATCCCCACTCCCAGGATCTTGATACCTGGTGGAGGAAGACTACTTTCCCAAGGTATGGTTTGGATAGAAAGTGGCCACACAGTCTACTGAGAGGTAGCTATCATGAGGGCTCTAACCTCATCAACAGACTATCCAGATGGGGCCTAGTTAGAGGATCTATCATGGTGTGTGTGTGTGTGTGTGTGTGTGTGTGTGTGTGTGTGTGTGTGTGTGTGTGTGTGTGCCTCTGAAGGGCATATCTTTTATGTGATGCATGTGTGTTTGTGATGTGCGTGTGTGCTGTGATTGTGTGTGTGTGTGTATGTGAATGTATTTATGTGTGTGAGTATGGGCACACGCGCGCACAGGGCAGAGGACAGCCTCAGGTGTAATCCTTACTTCCTCCTTTGAGACCAGTTCTCTTTGTTGCCTGCCGGTGTGTAATAGGATTCTCCTGTCTTGGCCTTCCCTCAGGCACACGAGGACTTCAGATGTGTACTGCTGTGCCTGACTCCTACATGGGTTCTGGGGATTTGAACCCAGGTGCTTCTGCCCTCTTAGCAAGAGTTTTTACCCACTGAGCCATCTCCCCAGTGAGGGGAATGTCTTACGTTCAGAGATTTCTTCTCCCTCTCTGTCTCCTGTTTCCTGGCTGCGTGAGGAAAACAGTTTCCCCCTCTCCTGCCCTTTCAGCTTATTTCTGCCTTACCACAGACCTCAAAGCAATGAAGCCAGGACTGAAACCTTTGAAACCACAGGCCAAAATAACCCCCCCCCCTTTAAATTGCTTTGCTTGGGGGCCTTGTAGCAGCAGCAACAACAATAAACCAACGAGGGAGTCAGGGAGGCCTCAATTCCCGAGGGAGAGGGGACTCGAGGCCCTCCTTTCTGCCCTACTCACCACCAGCTGCTTTGTGCCACTTTCGACCTCCTTCCCATCGACGACCTCCTTCCCATCGACGACCTCCTTCCCATCGACGACCTCCTTCCCATCAACGATCTCCTTCCCATCAACCATCTCCTTCCCATCAACCATCTCCTTCCCATCGACTGCCTGAAGTTCAGCATTGGCCTGGTCCTTCACATCAGCCGTCTTCTGAGATTCCATCTCGGCCTCTTGGACAGTAACCTCTGCCCCAGCACCCTCCTTGGGTTCAGGCTTGGCTTTATCACTCACATCCAATTTCTCCTTAGAGTCCAGATTGGCCTTGTTTCCATCAGACTTCTGCTTCTCCGGGGCCAGCGTGGCCTCCTCTTTTCCCTTAACCTCGCTGGGTTCAGGTGTTGTGTCTTCCTTCCTGCCAGTCTCTTCCTGGGAAGCCACGGCGGTCTCTTCCTTCCCACCCTCCTCCTCTGCAAGGTCACCCTTGGCTTCCTTCTTCCCACTGGCCTCCCCTTGCAGGTCTACCTTGAGCTCATCTAATACATTTGCGTCCTCCGGGCACTCTCCTGACACAGCCCCCTCGGGGGCTGCTTTACCCTCCTGTTCTGCCTCATCCGGAGGGTCTTTGACACTTGTCCCAGCTGGGCCTTTGGCCACCTCCTCTGCAGCGCTTTGATTTCCTGGTGTGTCAAGATTCCCTGCAGTTGGGGAGACAGTGGTCCCATTCTCAGAGGGACTCTCTTCTGTCCGTTCCATGTCTAGAAAGAGAAGACATGAAGACTTTGTCACACACTACCCTGGCATGAGGTGCAGACCCTGCCCACTGAGTGCCCTGGCCCAGCAGTCAAGAAGTCTCTGGTTCTGTCCTGTTTCCCTAACTAGTTGGGCATGACAACATACCCACTCTCCCTGTGGAAACATGAAGGACAGAGTGCTTCTTTTGCTAAAGTGGGGCATTTGGGCCATATTGACTTGATATTGGATGGTATTTACCCAAGGCCCTTTTGTATGCTATGCCTTTTTTTATTGTTATTATTTTGAGGCAAGGTCTCATGTAGCCCATGTTGGCCTCAAACCTGTTTTGTAGCAGGGGATTTCCTTGAACTCCTGATTCTACTGCCTCTGTCTCCTGAGTGCCAGAACTACAGGCTTGCATCATCATACTTGGCCATTATTATTATTATTATCATTATCATCATCATCATTATTATTGCTATCATCAGACCTAGGGCTTCATGCATGCAAGCCACCACTTTACCCCTGAGTGAAATGTCCAGCCTCATATAGTGCCTTTGCGATGATTTTGCCTCACTTTGATTAACAAGGGAGGTGGTCACAATGTAATACCATCGTTCTGGAACCTGGAAGGAACAATTGCTGCTCACCCCCTAGAGCCGAAAGCAGGCTGGCCTATAGAACTGAACAGCCCTGCTTTGCTTCTATTGTATGGATTTTCAGTTACCTTCTATTTCTGGTAAGCGATATCGAGCTTCCATCTCCAGCAGTGATCTGAAGTGTCTTTTTAAAACGCATTATTGGATTTAAAAATAACTTAATTCAAAACAAGACAGGCATTTAGGAAATTTGAGTAAAGATGGTACAAATGTCAGATCATAGAGATGGTATAAAAATACTCACGATTTGGGAGCCCCGGGGCAGGCGAGTCTCTGAACCTCTGTGGTTCTTGAAAAAGTGAATGAGAAGAGTTTGCTTTGGTGAGAGAATAGAATCACATCCTCTCTAGTCTGCAAAGCTGGCCTCCACCTGCTCTTGGGTATATGTGGAGAAGATGACCCCTTAACTTGGGGATTCCTCGTTGAGTACGGTATATAGTTTTGGTGTGGGGACGGGGCCAATTCCCTCACTACCTTCTCTTGTTGGGGGTCTAGTTACAAAGAAAACAGCTCCCAAATAGAGTTCAGGGCATGACTCAGGCAGTAAGAAAAGTGGACACTCCTGTCATTGGCTAAAAATACCTCCTGCTCTTGGCAGTACTTTCTTTCTTGGTGAGAGTACCTAGGACACCTTGGTAAACTGGACAGAGCCCAGGCGGCAGGAAGACATGATACACTCTGCTACCCACTTCCTTTTCCTGCTCCTCCAGACAAGAGTCCTGGGGTCTCTGGGTTTGGTGCTCTCCACTTTCTAGGAAGCAGATGGAATTTTGTAAAGATAAGAAGACTGTCCACCACGATAGCCCCTTGGTGGTGCAGCAGCAGCTCCAGCCATATATTCTAGCGAGAGGGGGAAAGTGTCTGGGTAGCAGCATGCACGGGTGGTGATCAGGAGGTCACGGCACATGGACCCTGGCATTCTAGTCACTCACTTTCAGCTCAAGGCATTCCCTCTGAGCCCCAGCTTTAGATCGGATGTTTCTAGACAGTACTCTGTAGAGGTATGACACACACAAAAGGGATGGGTTCACCAGCAGAGTGCTCTCCTAAAACGTGCAAGGCCCTAGATTCAACCTCCAGCACAGTATAAGCTGGGCATCGTGGTACGTGCCTGTAATCCTAGCATTTGCGAGGTAGAAGCAGGAGGATCAGTCCCAGAACATGGTGAGCTGAGGCCAGCTGAGGCTGTGGAGAGAGAGAGAGAGAACAAAAAGGTTCTCTTGACAGTGAGAGGAAGATGTATTTATTCACTGACCACGGTTGTTCCAAATATAGCCAGCTTTTCACTCTCCTAGAGACACACAGCATCATTAGCACTTAAGCAGGTATCAGGTGCCACTGAGTTAAAAAAAAAAAAAAAACTGAAAACTTAGCTTGAATACCATTGAATTCACCTTTTCCTAGACCTTCCTGGCCATGGCTTTTCTCTTTGCCCTCTTTCCTTACTGGAATGCTGTCCATGAGGCATTCCCATTGATCCCATTGACAAAACCGTGTTCGAGATCTGAATGAGCCACAAACCCTCTTCCCTCTGTGTCCTCATGGGGAAGACGGTGTGAGTCAGTGGTGAGAGGCATGGTGGTCTTGTGACGGCAGGATTCCAGCTGCCCCTGTTTACTGTGTGACACTTGTTCTGCCTTTTCACGTCTGTAGATAGAATAGGTCCGGCCCACATGGAGAGTGGAAGGCTTGGGTGGCTAGCACATGGGCAGTATTTGGAAGGAGTCCTTACTCCACAGCATGCCTGGTGAGGATTGACTGTGCCATCCCTGAGCCAGGGTGAGGACCTGACCTGGTCCCCAGGGCATTATGAGTGACACAAGACAGAGAGGACTGGATGTCAGTAAGATGGTGACATGCCCTTTTTATACCCCCAAGTGTGGCATATTTGGCTAAGACATAGCGGATTGCTTCAACCATCTTTGTAGCTGCACACTACACACTTGGGGCGGGGGGAGGGGGAGGGAGACAGTATGCATGGGAACGTATGCGCACACCTCAGTTACCTTGCCTCTGCTTTCCCCTCTGGGCTTGTCACAAATAGACAAGGAGTGAAGCAGCTCTGAATTCTGAGGAGGGAGGCTAGCTCTCCTCCCCCAGTGCTCCTGATGCTACGGCAGTTCACAGCGTACACTGAAGCGCTCTGCTTTACCTTGGTCACTCCTTGACAGACCCCTCAGAAGGGTGGAACTAGCCCCCTTTTAAAATCTAGGAGTCTGGTTTAGGGATTCTAGTTCTTGAGACTAAAGTCATAGGAGAATTAAGTGGGCCAAACCACATCTGCAACCCAGGTCTCCTGAGTCCCGGGTTAGAGCATGGATTGAGGATACTTTTCCCACTCGATCCTCAGCCCAGTGTCCCTTCAACAGTCCCAGCTCAGAAGAGTGGTCATCGCACCTGTGGTGAGGAGCCACTCAATGAGGCTGAGCGGTTTTTCTCTCTTGCCTAAGTGCACACTAGACCCTTCACCAAAGCTTTCTTCATCACTCCTTTCCAGCTTTACTCCCTGCCTCCTTCTTCCCTCGTCCTCCTGAACCCCAGCTATTACCCCTATCTTGTGTCCAGTTCGGCTTTTCAGTTCAGCTCCCCCAGTCCAGAAGGAAAACCCAAGGTCCGAGCCTTCAATAGTGTGAGTGATGCTCGCACTTTCTGTGATGCCTCTGTCTCCTCCTACTGCCCAGTCCCCCTCCCAGTAGTTCTGAGGCCCCTACTTTATCATGCAGCCTTTTCTTGGAGAGGCCATTGCATCCCAAGCCCCCCAAGACCTCCACTTGTCCCCCTGAGGCCTTCTTCATAGTTGGCCACTTGCAGGCTGCTCTGTACCTGGCCTCGTTTTACCCAACTCCTTTAGGCAGCTAAAAACAGTTGATGGAGTGCAGAGAATTAGGAAGCAGCCTGAATTTCTTTCATTGTAGGGTCCTTGTAAGAAGATCCGGCTCTTTGAAGGAGGAGTAGGGGCTGGAGTAACTCAAAAAGGGCCCAGGGTTTTTCCTACCTGTGGGGTTCTGCCTGCAGCTTGGGAGCTCCTGCCTCGTTCTAGCTCAGTAGGCTTGCTCCCATCGTCCTTTAAGTTCTGGTAGCTTTGAGCCCCCAGCTCATAGTCCCGCCTCCTTGCTTTCACTCCCCCCCCCCCGCACCCCCCTTCCCACCTTTTAGAAGCCCGGGAAGAGCATTGTTTACCGCCCTGTTGGTACAACACTTTCTCTTAGACTGGGAGGCTCAAATTTCCCTTGAGGATCTGACAGGTGGCACCTTTCAATCATGCGGCGGTCCCTCTCGCCCGACCCTAACAGCATCTTCTTTCCTGAAGTGCTCTGGCCCTGAAGATCTTGACAGGGAACTGCCTGGCCCATTTAGAACACGGTCTCCAGCTCTGCTGTCGCCTAAGATCATCCACAGCCAGGCTAGACCTCCTGGGCTCCCTTAGCCCCTGGCCTCCAGTCTTCCTCGTATTGTCTCCTTTACTCCTCCCTAGGCAGGGCAGCTGCTGGCTGAGGGGTGGGCTCAGGAGGCGGCAAGTGGGGCAGCTGCCAACAGTGGGCTCACACTAGACCGGGAAACTTGGAAGGGGAGGGGCCAAGAGGAGAGCGGCATGGAGAGAGCCAATGAAACACGGGACTTAGCATCTACATCACAAATAACTCATTGATTCTATTTTGAGCAGGATTGACTGATACATGATCAGCTGTGTGTGTGTGTGTGTGTGTGTGTGTGTGTGTGTGTGTGTGTGTGTGTGTGCTGAATTGAAAGTTTGCTCAGAAAAAACGGAAACAAATCCTTATCCTGGCTATGTGTCATACAATTTAAGGAGGGTACCGTTTGGAGACTGCGGGCAGGGACACCCCTCCCATTTATGAAACTTGTGACTCCTCCAATTCCCCTCCCCCAGCTCCTTCCACTCAGCCACACTGGCTTGCTTCCTGTTCCTTAAATAAATCCAATCAGTGCTTTCCAAACTCAGGACTGGGTTTTCCTTCTGCTCTTTGTGAGACAGACTCCTCAGTGTTCTGGACCCAGCTCAATTTTTTTTTTCCCCTCAGAGAGGTCCTCCATGATTGTCAAGCTCTCTCCAATTTTCTGGCTGCTTATGTATGTACTTCATAATATTTACTGGAATCAAAAGTTGTATTCTTATTGGGGTGTGGTAGTACACACGTTTGATCCTAGCATTTAGGAGGCAGAGGCAGGCAGATCTCTGTGAGTTTGAGGCCGGAGCGAGTTCCAGGACAGCCTGAGTTACCCAGAGAAAGTCTGTCTTGGAAAAACCAAACCAAAACCAAAACCAAAGAAAAAAAAGAAAAGAAAAAGAAAAAGCATCCTTAGCCAGGCATGGTGGGCACACTTCAATCCTAACACTCAAGGGCCGGAGGCAGGGGTAGGTCATCTCTGAGTTTGAGGCCAGCCTTGTCTACAGAATCAGTTCTAGGACAGCCAAGGCTATACAGAGAAACCCTGTCTTGAAAAACAACAACAAATTTCATTCTTAGGGCTGGTGAGATAGTTGAGTGTTTAAGAGCACAGCACTTGCTGTTCTTTTTTTTTTTTTTTTTTTGGTTTTTCGAGACAGGGTTTCTCTGCGTAGCTTTGCGCCTTTCCTGGAGCTCACTTGGTAGCCCAGGCTGGCCTCGAACTCACAGAGATCCGCCTGGCTCTGCCTCCCGAGTGCTGGGATTAAAGGCGTGCGCCACCACCGCCCGGCACACTTGCTGTTCTTACAGAGTACCCAGGTTCAGTTCCCAACATTCACACAATGGCTCACAACCATCTGTAACTCCAGTTCCAGGGGATCTGATGCCCTTATCTGACCTCAGAAGGCATGCATGTAGTGCACTACATTCATGCAGGCAAAACACTCCTACACATAAAATGAAAATAAATAGATCTTTAAACTTTATTATAAATTCTCTCTCTCTCCTCTATACTTTATGAGGATAGGGGATCTATTTTCCATGCTTACAGATGTAGACCAGAGCTTTGCCTAGGTCATATCTGGTTCTTGATAAATTGATATTGAATTAAGGAATCAGTCAAGAGAAGCAGGGAAAAGAAAAGGAGCTGTGGTCAGTATCTGGGATGATATGAGAGAGAGCTTATTTTATTAACCCCGGTTTTGGGACTGATGTTCAAATAAGTGTAACATCTGTCTCTAGTACATCTCCTTCATCCATCCAAAAATTATCTGCTGAAGACAGATGAGTTCTCCCACATTTCTCTGGCTTCATGATTTTTTCCTTCCCTTAACTCATTTCTTGTCTTACTGTCATTAGATAATAAAAACAGCAAAAACTAGAAGATGGTGGCATCAGTCATCATAACTTCTTTTATATAATCCTTTCATTCTTTGATGATGCAATGGTCAGTGAACACCAAGTAAGTCCTGGAGACAACAGTGTTGAACACAAAAGAAAATAATATTAGTGTGAGGAGATAGTAATCACATTAACAAGTAAAATATGGAATATATTGGATGCAATAGATTCTATGAAATAAAGTGAATCAGGGCAAATGATAGGGTTTTGTGTTTGTTTTGACTTTGTTTTATAGGAAGGAGAATATATTTGTAGCTACAGCAAATGATATGGGAATAAAGACCTCAAAGAAGTTTGGGACTGATGCCTGTGACAGGGACGGGCACCTGCATCCCTGGCAAAGAGAAGAGTAACTAGGAAGAAGGGGGTATGATGTATGTGTTGGATAAGGACAGAGGGTATCAGTAATGCTGGGCAAAGCAGGG